ACACAAGAAGTTACATAAATGAATCGGCTCCCAGATTATAGTAGAAAAAGTACTATTGTGGGTATGCCGTCATTGTCCAGGAGCTATTGTGTGTCGTACTTCAAGATCATGACCCCATGGTCTACCCCATACAGTGAGTGTCTGCTGCCTCACAATAGCCAACTCTCGGAGAATAGTACTCAGACCAGGATTTTTTGGACTGCAATGTGGACGTAGTTGTTGGCAGTGAAGGACAAGGAAAGATCACCGCATGGCAAGGCATTGTGCACCATATGTCTTCTAAGGCAAAAAACACACTTCAATAGAAAATTGGAAAATAAGAAGAAAGAAAGAAAGAAAAAATGATCACTCCGGCATACACCTCATGTGTCTGCCCGGTAATATCTTTCTTGTGAATATCAAAGATGAATGTCCGGACAGTGGGCTCAGAGAGAGAGAGAGGGCATTCGAAAAGGTATGCGGATTGCCAACTTATAAAAGGTAACCACCACAAAATACAGGGGTATTGGTTCATAGCAGTCTACAAAACTAATTGGAAAATCCGCTGGGCAATGGACATTAGAGTCCAACCAGCACAAAAAAAAAAAAAACGATGTCTTCAGAGCAACACTATCAAAACCTGACACAGATAGACAGCTGAACCCAAACCAATGGAAACTAGACCCTGGAAAGTAGAAAACAGACCAGCACTACATCATTTACTTCACCATCTACTCCAAAACTAAAACTTTCGTGGCCTTTAAGAGGAGGAAGACCGTGAATCTCGCAATGCTTGAGCAAATGTGTTCCACCCCTTCTCAAGCTTTTCCGCCATCAGAAGACCTATCTCCTTCCGAATAGCCATGTCCTCCTGAGCAACTTTGGCAGTGAGCTTTCCAATCTGTTGTTGCACTGCTGCCTGTTTGTACATGGCTTTCACTGTGAGTTCAGCGCACTCCACTGATCGCCTATTGTGCTCCCTCAGTGCGTCTGTCTGCTCCCTCATTACTGCGGAGATGTCCTTCACAGCCTGCTCCCGGCATTTGCGATAGTGCGTCTGCGCTTTGCTGACGTTCCCACTTCAGCCCCTTCAGCACATGCATTGGCAACCCCACTCTCAGCCCTGCCACCACTCACAGGATGAGAACCCCGACTGCCCTGTCCTGGTCCTCGCCCATCCTCCTCATTTCCATGGTCTACAACACCTTCAGGATGGACAACCGGGTTTCTAATATTGAAGGAGTCAATGAGATCAAACCAGGACCTTCGAAGGCGGAACGTGAGTCCAGCATTCGCTCGTGCCTCAGGTGACATGTCCAATAGCTCTGCACTCCACTCATGCCATCGTGGACCAGCACCTTTCTATACCACTTCCACAAGTTCTTCCACCTATTTTCACAGTCATAGCCATTACGGATGAAGCCGGCAGCACACACGGCAGTTGATATACCCTCCCATTTCTTATTCAAAGAGCAAGCATTGCCTATAGCTTCAGAGTTGACTGCTCGTGCAACCCTGTACTCTATATGTGCGTGGATGAGGGCAAGCGTTTCAGCATCATTCCAGCGCCGATTTCGGTGACACCCATCACCGCCATTACCAGGGACTGCGCCATCAGAAGCAATGGGGGGAGGGAGATGCTGCTCCTCACCCACCCATGGCTGCTCCTCACCTGGGGTCCCACGTGCTTGCACACTACCTTCCGTCTCGTGATGTCCACGATCTCCTCCTGCTTGTGAGTCAGCGCCTGCTTGTGAGTCAGCATAGTCGTCATCCCCTCCCCCCATTTGGTGTGGCAAACCATTCCCACAATCGCCTGCCCAGTCAACACTGCCGACCCCCAGCTCCTGATCACTCAAAACCACTGTCCCAGAGGGGCCTAAGCCAGCAGTTGGCAAACTGTGGCTTGTCTGCTGCACAACCTCGTCGAATGCAGAGAGCAAACTACGTTGTGGCATGTTACAAACAACCTGCGATTCTAACTGTGACACGTCTACACCCAGCTGTGACATGTCTACACCCCCCACCCCCCCGACGGACGACTGAGGAGACAACAACGGCTGCTCCTGCAATTGCTCCGTAGACCATTGAGGCATGCTGAAAGTGTGAGCGTCGATTGAAGGTGAGACTTCTGTTTCGTCTTTGTTGCTTGAGCTCCGCATTGCACGCCGATGCAAGTACTCCCTCATGTCCTCCAGCGACCTCTGATCGGACGAACTGGCAACGAACGAGTGGGGGACTGGATCCACTCCACTGGTGGTGTGCGCCACTGAAGGACCACTACGTGGAGGTTCATGCCCAGAGAATACACTTCCACTGTTCCCAACAGTGCGAAGGGCCTCCATACTCAGCTGTGTGGGAGTGGTTGCAGTGTCTGGCTACGCCACACGGAACAGTGCACCCGCTATGGAACGCTGCCACACACGAAGCTATGGAACACGAATGAGAACGTTCCCGTTTTCCGTTTCCGAATACAGGTGCTGCGCGCCGCGGGCAGAAAAAGGCAGAAGACAGTACATTATGGATTCGGAGTTCGTGGTCCTAACTGCGAACTCCATCTTACAGGTACTGAATCCGGACGCCGGGTGGAAGCAGCGAATAATCAACCGTGACCTTCGTCATATGGGCCTCGCTCCACCACTCTCGGCAGGCAYGAAAGACAAAAATCTCAGCGRTGTATCTTTCCATCTTCTAGYRCAAGATTCACTCTYTTTTTGCACATTTCGAGAGTAGTGGAGTGAAGTCTGCGCACGCTCTACAAGTGAAATAAGGGCCAGATCCCRCTAGCAAAGAGGATWGGAATAACTGGCCGAATCTGGACGTGTTCCACTCAAAGATGCAGAAAAGCAGTTCAATCACAATTGTTTGCACCTCTCCACAAACACGTCCAGGTTCAGAGGCTTATTCCAATCCTCTTTACCAGTGGGATCTGGCCGTATGGAAAATCGGCCMAAAAATAAAAGAAAACGAAAAAGSTAAAGAGYAATGTATCTAGCTTCGCAAACATAGAAAATACAGTGAAAAACGAAAGAAAACAAAACAGAAATCTATCTATCTTGGTTCCCTGACAGGATACATGCATCGAATGTGCATTGTTACGGGGAGGGCTTCTGCGGCTTTTGCAAGCATCAAGAAGTCGTGGGCCTCCGAGCTCATGTGAAGGGGCCACGGACGTGACTCGCAGCAGCAGCTGTCGATTCTGAGGTTCAAGAAGATGGTCATCGTTGTAGTACTTTCAAACGTCGACCTCCTCACCATTTTTTTAAATCCATTATGTCTTTTAAACTTATTTATTTATCTTTTCTCATCGTGTCGCACAGGTCCAAATAGGCCATGACTCGTGTGCTAGTAGAATCGTGCCCCTGTAGGACTTTCGAAGAATTGCGACTCAAAAAGAAATCGACAGGTGTCAGGATACTACGCTCGACAGCCGCCCTCCAACAATCGTTTCCTCCCGCCTGAGCGTAGGAGACGGAAATTCGACAGTGGCCCGCCGACCTTTCAAAAATAGGGTTCGAATTTGCATTGTCAGGGACTGTTCTGTGACCGTAGTGCCCTGTGGAAAGGAGGAGTCCGCCTGGCCATGACCAACAACCTTGCCCGGAGTTTCCAGTGCAGAGCTGCAGTCAGGCGTAGTTGCACGGTGGGAGAGGGGAAAGGGCGCGGAGGGAACGCAGAGGCCGGCGCTAAGTGCTCTGCCCTGACGTTACGGGGTTGGGTACCTGGCCCTACGGCGGGCCGAAGCGCTACTAACGAGATAGCGCCTCGGCAATCCTGATGCTTTCGCGGTAGCAAAGCAGCTATGGTGGCAGCAGTCACACTCAACTGACAATCGGGCGGTCGCCGTTTTCCGTGCCCCACAGTAAACAAGATAGGAAGAAAGACAGAAGGGAGAACAACTTAGCAGAGATTTGCAAGTTTAGAGGTCGAACTTAGACCTGAGTAGGGTAGGAGAGACATCGAAAAGGGAGCAAGGAGACAATATGGAAGAGGCAGAAGAAAGGGGAAGAGAGAGACAAAATGCGTGGTCACCGCCTATGGGCCCAGCGGAACAGTTCAACTACTGGGAAGATGAGGAGGGTATCAGATAGTTGCTGGGGCTTTGTTTTGACGATGGCGTCTATCCTACGGATTTGGACCCGGGCGAGATGACGATACAAGGGAGAGAGGTGAAGTTTAAGCTTAGATGAAATAAAAGTAAAATGGCTGAAGGAAAGGACGGTCTCGGTCATCTTTAAGGAGAATGCAGGATTCCTCCCAAAGAGAGTGAAAGCCGATACGATTTGAGCGTTCGAAGACGGGTGGGTGTTGGGGAGCGACAGCTTCCCAACCGAAACCAGGCGAGACGGGTGGGTGTTGGGGAGCGACAGCTTCCCAACCGAAACCAGGCGAGGTAGAGTCAAGATCGAGGGCCCGAACGCGCTGTCATATATGGCCGAATCACGAGAAATAGCAGCTTACATGATAAACGAAGGGGGAGTGGAGATTCCGGTGGGAACGACGATATACAAAGTCCAGAAGTCCTGTTTAAACCATGGATGACGAAAGCTGAGTTCAGGGAACTGAGACGACAAGAAGACGACAGGACGTTTTGGGTGATAGCGATTCAAGTTCAGCTGGATGACATGCCGTTCATCTTCACACAGATACAACAGGCGATCGGGAGAATTATTCTGGCGCACCCTCGGGACACCGACCCATCAAGACCGACGTTAGTCAACGCACGCTTTGATATCGATCCGGAGGCAAGGGGCAACATGAAGGATAAATTATGGATAACAACGTCCAAAGGAGATGAGCTGGAGGTGAAACTGGCTTGTTCTACCACTCCTAAGTGCCAAATTCGTAGGCCATTCTTTCATGTGGCAGAGGATTGCCGAAGAAACGAGAGAGGACAAAATTAGGGAGGAGGAGCGACATTTAACATATCTCTTCAGCAACCAGCGCAATCCGGAGCGAGTCAACGAGGTGGCAGAAGACCTTCATACCGTGGTCCAATTGGACCGCAGCCATCGCAAGGATTTTCGATTGGAAGTAGCGACCCAGCAGGCTTCACCAACGCGGCAATGAACCCAGTATTTTCTCCAGGAGGACATGCGCAAACTGGCAGGCATCTGCAACCAGGCACGCTGATGGCTAGCCTCCTCCACATGGTAGCAAACACGTACGGGATGCCACATCAAGGAGGAAGCCCCCTGTTCGGAGGGAATTGGATGAGTCAAAGCCACCTCTTCGGTATGGGTGGAGGGATAGCCCCCCCCAAACCAGGAGGGGGCCTCGCTAACATCGGAGTACACGGAGCCTCAGCATTCCAAAGTTATTACCCCAGAGCGTTCGTTGGCAATCCTGGGCCAGGAGCTCATATGGATTCAGGTCCTAGCGGATAGAACACACCTCTGACAGGCAGAGGCGAGCACTCGTTCAATACTCCAGCAGCATCACCGCAACCAGGAAGAAGAGCGGGAGGAGTTCCAGGTGACTGGTCCCAAGTGAATGCAGACACGAAAGCGCAAGGTGCCTCCTCGTCAAGAACTGAAGGAGATTCCAGGCAGAGAACTCGCCCATCCGGAAAACAAAGGAGGTTGAGTATGTCCTCAGTGAAAGAGCTAAGGGAAGAAGAATCAGATGGCTCGTCTGTGTATTCCCCGGATGCATCGGCCACTCTGGGCAAGAAAACCACGAGACATAGGCGTCTTACAACATTAGTTAGAGGTCAAGGCGCGGGCATGGAACAGGTCTTAGTTCCGCTGGTATGTACCTATGCAAGAAATGCATATTGGGCGATTGTTTGGCAAACGACGACGGCTCCGTTCACCTTACTCTCGTAGCAAGTTGCAAATGCCCCCTCGCCGCAAGTGATTGAGCAAGCTCTGAAGATGCTGTTCCTAGAATATTTTCCCGCGGAGTAATTCCGGACTGCCCTATGGCGAGAATCATCACGGACGTAGACGGTCACAAAGTGAAACTGTTTATTCCAAGTGTGGACAACAGATTTACGCCAGACAGACTGTTGCAGTTGGAGAGGACCGGATTAAGACTAACCCGCTCGCCTGTTTCTCGCAGGGAAGAAAACAGGAGCTCTGCAAAATTGCGATAGCCCCAAGACTTTCAGCTGAATGTCTGGTGGAGCTGAAGATCCGTTTGCACAAGGACAAGACGCTGGATTCCCAATTCATAAGGGATGCACATCGCACTTACAAAGGCATGGCCGGAGAGCGTCCCTGTTGGGGCTGATGGATCGACAAAATTTGGCTCTTCCCACATCCAAGGGATGGGTGGGATCAGGCTGAATGGTTAGACTATCAATTGCACCTTGGAATGTATGCGGGTTGGGGGATACCGCAGGGAGAAGGAAGAGACCGAGGTTGAAGAAGTGGATTCATGAAAATCATGTGGCAATTATGTGCCTTCAGGAAATGAAATTGAACGGATTCCGAAGCTAGGCAATTGGTGGGACGGCCCCCAAGTTTCGTCACCGGTCCAAGGCTCACGGGGAGGTGTAGCCATTCTTCTCCACAGAAACACAAATGTAGAGATCCTTGATCATTATGCGGATCTGTGAGGAAGATGGGCGTGGATTAAGCTGGGAGTGGATCAGCAGGAGTGGGCAGTGGCAACTGTATATGCTCCAGTGAGAAAGAAGGATCACGCAAGTTTCATGAAGGATCTACCGTTAGCCTACTAGACACAGACAACCTAATTATTGCAAGCGATTGGAACCATACCTTGGATGAAAATAGAAGCATAGGAGCTAGAGATGCAGCGAGACCTATTCTACCAATCACGGATTTTATGACAAACTTCCATTTGTATGACCCGTTTACACTAACTCATCCATTAGATGAAGGTCATACTTGGTTCTCAAGCCGAGGCGGGGAAAGACGTTTAGACTACTTCCTAGTCAACGAGATAGGGTTGGGTGCGTTGGTAAACATTAACAGCCGAAACCAACCCATCTCATATCACTGCCCAGTGGTGGCAGAGTTTAGAATTGGAGATGATCACCCCAAAGGAAAAAAGTATTTCAGGCTAAATACAAAAAACTTGAAGGATCCCAATCTGAAGGAATGAGTTAACCAATTTTGGGGTAGATGGGCGATGCAAAAATAACAGTTTGGTTCTCTTGCTGGCTGGTGGGAAGTTGGGACAAAAATCCTTTCCAATTTGCTGAACGTCTTCTCAAAGATGTAGGCAACGGAGAGGAACAAAGAAGAACGGAGGTGTAAAAAAAATGTGGAATACGCAGAACAACGAATGCGAGAGCATCCGATTTCAGAGTTGGTGTGGGGAAAAGAGAGGGCTAAGAGGTTGGAGGAGTGGGACAGGATTCAGCAAGAGAAGGCAGAGATCGGGGCTGAAAGACTTAAGGTCAAAGGAATAGTAGTCTACGACCGAATGACTAAGGACTCGTTTGAGAAACTGCTGCGGAGAAGA